TCTTCTGTTCTTTTTTCCCCACACCCTTTTCTTCAATACAATAGATCTATTTAAATATGGATTTAAAAGGAAAGTGTATTCCTTACTCCTGAGCTGTTCAAGCTATTAATATTCACCTTCTTTTCACAAGGTGACTGGTGCCAGGGATCATTAGCGAGCTTTGTGGTGCTTCCCCCAGCCCCTCTCATGTTGGTTAGTGGGAGGATAACCTGGCTTTTGGAGAGGCTGCCCGGAGCAATGGGAAATGGGGGCAGTCTGGCCTTTGGGCAGGGGTCTCAGGGGTAAGATCTGGTGTTGCTGTGTGGCGTTTCTAACTGTCTCAATTTTTATTTGGGGGTTCCCCTGTTGTTCTGGTTTTATTTGTTATTTTTCCTAAAAAAGTCATTGCAAGTTTAAAATTTTTGCCTGAGACTTTTTTTTTTTCTGCTTTGTAGAACTGTTTCCAGCAGAAAGACAGGTCATGGTTTACTTATATGACTTTAGCATATAGTTTAAATTATATAGCATGTGGTATAAATTTTAACACTTTACAACTCTGCTGATTTTTGTAAAATCAGAGACCTCAGGAGGTTCTGGGTTTGTCCTATAAAATAGTCAGACGAGCAGAGAGCTTTGGCTAATTAATGTACAATAAATGATAGAGAATGAGAACTGGTTGGGTTTTTTTAACTCGCTAGGACATGCTGAGCTTAGTACTGCTGTAACACAGGGGCTTTCTATAGAGTAGTACCTTGCTCAGTAAATCTATTTTTACATGCTGTGGCTTGGTGTCCGTACTAGCACGATGAGCCTGGCTGTGGTGGTGTCTGTCCTCTCATCACACTCCTGCTCTGCTCCTTCGCTGGAACTTTCCTCTTTGGAGTATTAATAACATCATTGTGAGAAGGTGCTTAGCTCCCTGGCCTGCCTCCTACCCTGTCACTTCTGAGGGTAAGGCTGTAGGAACAGCACTTTCAAGCAAGGGGACAACAAGTTGTGCTGTTGAGAGGTGTTAACGCTCTTGTCAATAGAGTTCATGACTGATCAACCTTGTTGTTCACTGAGGAATGAATCATTTCTCAGTCCCCACATTAGATGCGGGAGCTGTAAGTAAATGCTACCTGCCTAGGGTAATGATTTCCACCATGACTTCACTTGAAGAACATCTCTGTTTTATGACTGCAGAATGGGGTCACTTGTGCATTACCTTTTCCTACATTGCAAACGCTTGTTTTATTCATTGCAGTAACGTCAAGCCATTCGTTCTACTCAGAATGGCATGTGCACCAGGTATCGAAGGCACCCAAAGGGTATGATAAACAAAGAGATTTTGCTTCCTTGTGTCATGTTCATCCCATATTTACCCTGTGGTGAGAGCTCTGTTAGCACAGGAAACTGCTTAATGATATCTCTGTGTTTATTTTTCCCTTGCGCTTAGCATGATAGTTACCTATTTATTTCTGCTGAAGAGGATTACAGGCGTTTTTCAATTATAAATGATGCACGCAAGCATTATTTATCCTGTTTACTGCAGACCTATAGAGTGTTAGTCGGTCTCCAGCAAAAACATCTTGTTCAGGAAACAACATTTGTAGTAGTGGTACTGTGGGTATTTTAGGGCAATTTCAGGATGGTTTTCCATCTGTCCCATTAATACTTGCTGTGCAGCACGCTCATGACCAGCAGCTTAGCAGGTTTGTGTTTGTGCGTGAAATTCCTGTGCTTGAGAAATTTTCATTCGTGATGTTTCTTCTGTGTTAGCCTCTTGAACGAGGAGGGGGAAACTCATTGCTCTTCTCTCACAGGAAAAGAAAAGCTTTGCGCAGCTTGGCAGGCATGCGTTGGGTGAAGCCTAAGTGCTGAGACCCAGTAACAGATGTATGGTCTTTCTCTAACTCTGCAGCCAAGGCATCATGAGAAATGTGGCATGTAAAGTCAATCTGAAGAATTCATTGCTGCTTTCCTTCAGGATATATTAATAAGTTAATAGAAAACACACTGCTGTAGTACAGATTATATAACAGAGAAAGATAAAAACAGTTTGTAGAAGGATATAAGCTCAAGCTTCATGACATGGAGTCATAAAGGAGGTCAGAAGGACACTTCTCATTCTAGAGATTTTTGTCCTTTTTTTCCTTCTTCTTTTTTTGCCCTTTGTTTCTTTTAAGTATCAGCTGTTAGAGACAGGATTCTTGTATGGGTGAATCTCTGATCTCAACCAGCATGGTAGCTCCAGGCCAGTTAAACCAGAGACATACAGCGATGGGGATAGAAATTGACATTTTGGGTTTCAGAAACCTCCTTTTCTCTATGAACACAGGCAGAAAAAGGATACGGAGAAGTGCAAAAAAATAGAGAGGAAATTCAAGGTGGGTTTTTTTTTTTAAGAACTTGAAGAAAAAAAGATGTAAGAAAAGTTTTGCTCTGAAGCCTGAACTATTCCACAAAATGAGGAAACTTTTGGGCACTTTTCTAATGGTCTTGCCAAGATCCTCAAATAGTTGTAGTGAGATGCGGGAGAACAGTGTGTGGGTATAAGGAAAAAAGGGGAAAAGCATCTGGAAGGAAAATAAGACCATATCCGATACAGGTCTGAACTGACATCTCTGCAAGTGGTACTTGTTTGCATGTGATTTTTAAAGAAACATGAGATCCCACTCCCCATACCATCGGAGAAAACATGATTACAGATTCATGGAGCATTTGCTTTCCAGCCCCCAAAGAAATAACGTGACTGTTGATTTCATGCTATTGAAGAACAGCACATTTGCAGAATATGCTATCAAAAAGGTTGCGTAGCTGGATCTATATAGGCATACCACCTCAGCAGATTAAAGGGGTGCTGCCAAGGCTGAGGTTAAGAATTGATCTACTTTGACAGAAAATCCCAAAAGGAAGAGTTTTAACCTTTAGGATTCTTTCTGTTTGCTTTCTTCGAACTGATTGCAGCTGTCACCAGAAATAAAAACAAAGCAAACAAAATAAAACTCTTTACAACTTCCGATTAAGCAGCAATAAATAAAACATTGTTCAAGTCCAGTGCAAGTTTTTCTTACAGTCTTGTACTAAATTGTCGGTAGCTTTTTTAATTTTTTTTTTTTTTTTTTTTTAGTGGTAGCCATGGCTTGGAGAAACCTGAATAAATGGAAAAGATGCAGGAATGTGTCTTGCAACAGCTCTGCATTTTTAGTGTTTACTGTTGATTTGCCAGAAGCCAGACAGAACCTACAAAGTGGGTCACTGGGTTCAGTGTACTGTGATTATTATTTATACAGAATCCAAAGTGTACAGAGCACCCCTTTGGGCATATAAAAGTTCATGCTTCAAAGAGTTTACAGCCTTCAGGGCTAATAATATTATTGCTGGTAACATCTAAGCTGTATATATTTCAAAGCTGCTGTTGCTACTTTCATAATTTTATTGCGTATCTTGCCCTACCTGATTGTTGCAAGTTCTGGAGTACAGTGATGAGAAAAGGATCTTCAATTTCCATTTAAAACACCAAACCAAAACAAACCATTTTGTCTCTAGACAAGAGCACGAAAATGTGTCCCGAAGACAGCAGAGTAGTTCAAAGGCCGAACAAACAGAAAACAGAAAGGTGGTTTGTTGTGGTTTTTTTCAATGCAGTTGGCTAAGAAGATAATGAGGTTTCTAAGATTCCTAATTAGTCATGGGGAGGAAGGGCAAGAAGAGTCGTGCTTGTGCTTGTGAAACTTGGGCCAATGGATTCTAGTTCTCTCCTCAGGCCATTAGAATTTGTGGGTTTTTTTTACAATAACACATTTTTTGGATGTGCTGCAGTCAATGATGTCTTCTTCCTAAGAGTGCGCTCCAAGCCGGGTCTGCACTTCACACAACAGTGTGATCCCTGTTGGGCACAAGGTCCTCTCTCAGGGGCTTTCTTCTTTTGTCTCCACTCCTTTCCTCATGTGTCAATACATGGCCTTAAAGCGACTAAACTCCGGTTTTCCTCATGACATTGAGATCATGGGCAAGCAGCAAAGTACAGGAGCTCTTTTGCATTCAGTGTGTTTGCCCATTGGGAGCAGTCCATCCAAAAATGATCAACACTGCTCAGGCTTCTGACACTGACTGGTGGCAAAAAAAAGAAAAATGTACCACGTGAATGAGGTACGTGGCGGTATTTATTTCCCAAAAGTAAATTGGCAAGTATCCTAAATAATGGAACGTGTTCACAGAAATTGTGAGTTATTCCTTCAATACCTCTGAAGAGGCAAAAGGTTAAAAAAAAAATTGCATTATTGGTTGTAAATTCCTTGTCTGAGTTACAAGTAAGTGACTGAAGTAATGGGTTTAATTTGGAAGTGGTGGAGCTCAACACGGTTAATCCTTCCTGCTGCCTTCCCCTCCTCTCTCTGGTGCTGGGTCTCACTGTTGCGGAGGACATGGGTGGTTGCTGGGTGACAGAAGAAATACTGCAGGATACCTGTTTTTGGTCTGGCAGTACGGGCAATTGCATTGTCAAAAATCAGAGATTTCTTCTAGATCCTCTCACAAAGCCTTTTTCCCTCTCCCTTGTCCTAAGTGACACTAAATTAAATAAATGCAAAAATATGAATAGCAAAGAGATGCCAAGGCCCAACTCCATTATGGCTGAAAGGTGTCCAGCTTCACTGATTTCAGTGGCAGCACCAGATTTATTCCCATATCAGTAAGGGATGGACTGGTCTGGGATAACTTCTGTTTATCACAGCAGTTTTCCTCTACGAAAGTGGAAGTAGCTGAAGAAAAATCATCTCTCTGTTTTTAGGCTTTGCTGGGGTGATAATATGGCTAACGTTTTAATGAATTCAGAGGATGCTTTCTTTTGATTTAACCTTCCTTACTTTATTTTATTATGCCATGTATTTTTGGCATTTGGTGAAGAGCTATTGTGAATGTGAGAACTAAGCAACTTGTTAGATAACATCTTTTTTTTTCTCTTTAGAAGATTAAACTGAGACTGTTCTGCCTGATGCCAGAATAGATGTAACCAATCCTGTATCCTTTGCATGTAGGTCAGTCAGAGGGACAATCCAGCACTGGATCCCATTATCCATGGGTTGAAGGGCGTCGTACATCACGGTAAGTAGCTGCTTAAACTTTCTTCTTGCCGGGAAGGGGAGAAGGGCGGGAATATCGTCCTTAAGGGATCAGGTCACCCCTGGAAGGACGCAGTGAGCCTGCACATTCCTCATTCACTGATGTTTAAGGGCTTCGCAGCCATTATTTGATTGGTAAAGATCAGAGTCATTTGTTACCTGAAAATGGGTGGGGGTTAACAGTAAACAATTTGTTTCTTTTCAGTCAGTGCTCTAGAATGCGTAAGTTATCAGTCAAAACCTACTACAATATATCATTCATATTAGTACTTCGAAGGCAGCGTTGATGCTTCACTCCTGCCATTTATCTTGTTTGCTCTAAAAATACTCCTCTCTGAAGTTTCTATTTGTTTATAAATTATTTGTCTTTCAAATTTAGGGAGCTGATAATGAAACAGAAAATTAACTATCTGTGAAAATTAATTAAACTTTGCAGCAGATGAACATCTTTCTAATGCTGACATAAATACGATCGTTCGGCTGTTCTGATGCATATAAACCTATTATCCTTGAACTTATAGCAGGTACTGAAATAAATATTAATATATTTTATACTTTTATAACCAGTTTTTACTAAGGAATTTTCCTGAAACCTTATCACAGGTAATGCATCATTAGCAATGACATCGAGATGCTCCAGTTCCCAAAGTACTCTTGTCAGGTTTTAATATAATGATTTGTAAAGTTTTAATCATCTCATTGTAATTCAAAAGGCATCTGCTGGAATGGTGCTAGGTGCTATAATAAATCTCCGTCCCATCTATAGTGCTGTGATAAAACATCTTTGCACCTTTGCTGAGGATTGTCTTTAGACATTAGCTAGTGCTGTAGAGCTTAATAAACATTTTTTTCTCTTGACTGCAAACCTAAAACTAGTTGACAGTGTTAGATTAAAACAAATAGGATTTTGGATTAATTGCTGTACTTTCAGAGTCATTTAACATTGCAACTGGGAACACCAATAAATCCAATGAAAGTGAAAAATAGGGGTTAAATGATAACTTACCATAAAGTCCTTCATTTAGAGAATTTTTCATAGGTTTTGCTGTTTCTAAATTGCAGTGTTCTGCTGTGAAATAAAAGCAACACACTGAGCTGTTGTGGAAAAAACTGTGGTTTTTTCCACAAAACTAGATGTTATTATCTAGCTCCCACTGGGTAACAAAACAGGTGAGCAAAAATAAAGCGAGGACGAGTTGGGCTGCAAGGATTTTTCAGTGGCCGAGTAATTTGACATTGAAGTCAAGCTGCCATTTAACTGGACCAGGATGTCTTTTTAGCTTTGTTTTCTACCTGCCTGCTTTTTCAAGACTCTCTACCCCTCTGCAAGCACAAAAGTGTTTTAGCCAGCTCATCATTTTTTTTCTGCTCCCTCTCTTGCTCCTTGCTGCTGCAGCCGAAATAGCCACTAGTGGATAATCATACCGGTGTCTCCTAAGAGTATTATTCCATTCCCAAAAATGTTTGGGTAGGGTGTGACACGGTCCCGAGGTTGTGATTCCCTGACCACATAACAATTAGTCCGTCTTGGTGCTGCCTACCCGCAGCAAAATCTGGGTGGATAAAAGGCATTTATTTTTGTTTTGCTCACAATGCACAGAAGGCAGCTAGTGTTTCAAGTAAAGGAAATCGCTTGATATATTTCAATAGCTTGTTTCCTTTTCAAAACATTAAGGAAGAAAAAGAGGAAAATCTTACTTTCCTTCCTGTTTCAAAGGCCCTGATTAAAGGCCTTTTCTAAGGCTCTTTTGGTGGCTAGAGTAAGGGAATTTCCTCCTACAAAGTAGTTGTTCAAAGAAGTTGTTCTCTTTAAGTTAAATATTGATGGAACACTTCAGTGAAGAATTCTCATATTGTATCTCTCTTTTAATGCTATTATATAGAATAATAGTAAAGATGTGAGCTTTTATTCCAGACACTCTCATTTCTTTTCTTGATGTAATTTACTTACATCTTACGTGAGCACATTTTTATGAATTTATCTGAAAAGGTTCTTTCTGCCTTCCATTTGGCTGCATTCAACTGGGACGCTAAGGCAACATGGACGTTTTAGCTGAAATACAGTGGAAAACTCTTGTGGTTTTTGGATAGAGTGGTTGGATCAAGCAGGGATCCAACAAAAGGAGCTGGAGAAAGGCAAAATTGAAACCTTAAGTTTCTTTGCATTTCATAGAATCATAGAACCTTCCATTTGGCTGCATTCAACTGGGACCCTAAGGCAACATGGACGTTTTAGCTGAAATACAGTGGAAAACTCTTGTGGTTTTTGGATAGAGTGGTTGGATCAAGCAGGGATCCAACAAAAGGAGCTGGAGAAAGGCAAAATTGAAACCTTAAGTTTCTTTGCATTTTATAACATTTCCGTGCCCATGTTGTTTTTAGGTGGTCATCACGATACAGAGGCACGTGCCTATAATGTGCCTAGAAATCAAGAATACATAGGAATGTTGAGATGACTACCTTGCTTTTAAATTAGGCCATGTTCGTATATCCTCTGCTGGCTGGAGAGATCAGCAGCCCCTCAGCTTTGCTTCTCCCATGTGCCTCATCTCAATGCACCTATTTAAGTAAGATTTCCTTGGTTTTCTATGCAGTGCATCCTTCCTGAGTTGTGCTGGACAGTCACTCCTTCCTCGCAGTCATTCAGTTTTAAAAGAGGAAATTACACACCCACACAAGCACTCATCCTCATCTTCATTTCTTCATTTGCCTTGTGGTGGTACTAGAAGGCCTGGTCCTATATGGGGACTCCACTCTGCACCACGCTGTAGAGGGCACCCACGCTGGCCTGTCCCCATGATGGTGACAGATCCAATGACCCTCAGTTAGATGCAGGGATGGTACTGATGAGTGGTGAGCTGGTTTTTCATTTTTCTTGCATAGATTTGCATTTTTTCAGTGAAGTTCTTGTATTCTTACAGTGCCCTTCCAGGGGTAAGTGAACAATTTAACTGTCAGAAGGACTTTCTGTGGAAGTGAAAGCAATCTTTGCTTGAGATTTCGTCAGGGATTTGAATTACTTACTAATTTGATGGAACATAAATAATTGTGCCCTTCACAGTGTCGCCAGCTTAGTAACAATGATGGAGAAACGCACACATAAAAATCAATACAGGCTTAGTTGCTACTCAGAGTTCACTTTGTTTCCTCATCCCCAGGCATAGTTTTGTAGAATCTTAATGCCACATTAAGCTTAATTTTACATGAGCAACCATATAAAGTTTCTTAGCTGGAAGGAAAACCAGTGATGTACCAAACAGCCTAACAATGTTTGGATCAATGATAACACTTTCAGGTTTGCCCCGCATCTTCCTGCCGAACAGTACGTTCCCATCACGTCGATGCTCCCCAACTCCCGCATCCGCCCTCGCAGAGCATTGTAAAGGCACACGAACGCCGAGGAGGCTCTTTTCAGAGCTGTCAGATGCCTGTTGCTGATTTTAAAATTGCTTTCGGTTTTGTGCTCTGCCAAGGATTTGTCACACTCCCGCCAGCGAGGTGCCTGCTATTCTCACTCCTGCTTTCCCTGCCGCAAAGCACACGGCGAGTGTGCGTCTGCCGCGGAGGCTGCCAGGGACTGACAGCTGGGAGCGTGCAGCCCTCTGCAGAAGGGATGGAGTACGGGCAGGCGTGATACGAATTTTCTGATGCAGACTTGCTGGTGTTTTTTGGCTCTGACCACTGGGGGTCTTTTTTAGCTCCTCTTCAAATGCTCTTCTCATCACGAAAGCTGACGGGAAAGGTCTCCAGCAACGCTGGTGCTGGTGGGATGATGCACATCCTTAGCTGAAGTTGGATCATTAGGTAAAGTAATAAAGTCACTAGTGCCTGGCTGTACTTGCACCACACATGGCCCAGTCATGGTGCTGCAAATCGGACTTTTCTGCCTGTTTTGCTGCTGATGTGCTTGGCTGGGTGCCTTGCCCTGAGCCCCTCTCTGCTCCTCATCCTTCCTCGTGATGCTGAGGAGCGCAGGACAGGACAGAGCTGCTCTTGTGCAAGGGCTGAGGCAGCTCCTGAGGCCTCAGAGAGAATGATTGTGCCCTTGTGGGAATAGGGGAACGTGAAATACCACGTTATGTCTCATACAGTTGATTTGCATTAAAATGGCTACTAAAGCTTTTGTCTGCCACATGCTTCAGCAAGATCTCAGAGGAGCACCTAGCAGGATGGAGCTATTGCACAGAAACATTGCTTTTTCCCACCTCTGCTGTCTTTGACTTGCCCTTTTTAGTACCGTTGTGTATGTAAGCCTCTTAGAGATGCCTTTTCCTTGTTCTTACCAGCTGCCTGAAAGGCATTAAAATGAGTCTCCTTCCCCAATGTCAGTCCTGAGGGCAGCGCCCGGAGCTGGAGGCTGCACAGCATTTGCTCTCTCCCAGCCCGGGCACGGGTGCTCTGCACAGTCCTGTTTTACTATGCAGGCAAATGGTTGTGAGAGGGAAGCAGCGGCCCACGCTACCCCAGGCCCCTGGGAAATCTTTCACAGTGATGGAAACCATGTTTTGTCACTCTGTCCTGTTCTCTGTGTCTGTCACCAAGAATCTACATGGATCAGCAGAAAATTATTAGCAGAGCACAAATAAATTACCACAGTAGAAAAGCCTCTATTAATGTCACAAAAATGGGGCTCTTATTCCCTTCCTTGTCAAAAGTGAGCACTGAAAATCAAAGTGCAGCCAGATCAAAAGCTTAGGTACAAAGTGAATCGATGGCATCTGTTGCTTGTTTGCGAACGTGGGGTGGGTGAGGGGAAGAGAGGAACCTTTGTTTATTTAAAAGGGAGTTTGGAAAAAAAATCTTGCTTTTTTCTTCTGCCTTTGTATTATTAAAATGCCATAACTTAAGCTCAGCATGGAGCAGAGTGTGATCTTGGGTCTCCCTCGAGATGGGCGAGAAGTGTTCGGGCAAGTTGGTGGTGACCACCAAAGTTTCAAGGGCTGCTGGGGAGACCGTACCAAAATACAGTGGAAACAGAATTGC